CAATTATAATAATGATATGACTAGAACAGTTTGGAAAGGCTTGCCACAAGGTTCTGTGTTAAGCCCTTTGCTATACAATATATACACGCATGATTTAGAGTCAATATTTGAAAACCGTATTAAAATTCTTCAGTATGCTGATGATCTTCTAATTTATTCTACCAATCGCGATATAGAAAGAGCAACATCAATTTTAACATTAGCTTTAAATGATCTCAAACAATGGTTAGATCAGAATGGTTTAAGCCTTTCTGCCTCTAAAAGCGCTGTGGTAATATTTTCACGGAAACGTATCATTCCCTCTGTTCAGATAATGTACGATAATGATTCAATTCCAATCTTAAAAAGCTATAAGTATTTAGGAGTTATTTTAGATTCGAAGTTATCAGGCGCTCAACATTGTGAGCATATAGCTAACAAATGTGAACGCCTTTTGAATATCCTTAGATGTTTATCAGGTGTGTGGTGGGGTGCTCATCCGTTTAGCCTTAAGATACTATATAATTCCCTGATTCGTAGTATACTAGATTACGGTACCTTTTTGTTAGAACCCGGTAATAGTATTGCCTTAAGAAAACTTGACAGAATCCAATCCAAAGCACTCAGATTAATAGCAGGAGCTATGAAGTCGAGTCCCATCAATGCATTACAAGTAGAATGCTGTGAGGCGCCTTTACATTTACGTCGTCAGTATTTATCTGACAGATTTGTTTTTCGCTCTATTCAATTATCTAATCATTCGCTCTTCCCCTTGCTTCAATCACTCGAAGAAGAAATTAACTCTTCCAGATATTGGTCTCACAAAAATCTTCCTTGTTTAATAAAAAGTTATAAAAAATATAAAAACCTGCACAATCCCACTCATCGTTCTAACTTGCTGCCACTTTTTGATGTTAACTATCAATCTTTAATATTATGTCCGAATATTATCTTAAAGTCTATTAATAAAGATCCTACAGCCAATTTTAATTTTAAATATACCATAGACTGTGAATTTAAAGACCATCATCATATTTTTACTGATGCTTCAAAAAACAATAAGTCTGGCAATGTAGGCATAGGTGTTTATCATTCACAATACAATGTTGTTCAAAAAATTAAACTTCCACCCGAATCCTCAGTTTTCACAGGTGAATGTTATGGACTTTTAAAGGCCCTGGAATATGTTATTATTATGAAGCTTAAGAAAACAATTGTATTCTGTGACTCAATGAGCGCTCTTCAGGCTGTTGGTAAATTTCCCTTTCGAATGAAAACATATTATCCTGTTATTTCTGAAATAAGAAAATTACTTTATAAGTGTTACGTTAACAACTACTACGTACAATTTATGTGGATCCCAAGTCATTGCGGTATAGGTGGCAATGAGATAGCTGATAGATTAGCAAATGAGGCCGTGAACTGTGGTGACATGCATCCATATAAAAATTTTAGCCATGACCTCTTGTCTATAGCCAAGACTGATCTTAATAGTGCCTGGTGTAATATTTGGGAAAATAGCTCAAGTAAAAAAGGTAAATTTTATGCTTCTATTCAACCACACATCTCTGTTAAACCATGGTACCGTACTGCTGATTACGGAAGAAAGGCTATTTCAATAATAATTCGCATGCGACTTGGACATGTTTGCACTCCTGATCATCTCTTTAGACTTGGTATTATTAACAATAACATTTGTGACTGCGGTAAGGGTATTATTGGCGAACTAAATCACATCATTTTTGCTTGTTTAAAGTATGATCGCTCCTTCTTTTTAAATGACCTAATATCAATTAAAATTCCTTTCCCAACTTCCGTATCCTCCTTGCTCGCTACGAATAACCCATCTGTATATAAATCCCTAGCAAAATTTATTATTTTCAACAATATTAAACTGTAATATAATTTATTTCTATCATTCCTTTACCTTATGTTATAATAATATCCTTCATCTTATCCTTATACCCTTCTAATCCTTATTATTCCAAATTCCCGTTAACCTTAAACTTTATCCCTTTCCTGACGTTTCCCTAACTTTACTCAAAAAATAATGTCATTGGCTAAATGCACAAGCCGTGCGAAGCCAGAAAAAAAAAAAAAAAAAAAAAAAAAAAAAAAATGTTTTAATTAATTTTACTTGTTGAAATTAATTTATTCATTTCACATTGGCAAAATTGTGTGAAATGCGCGGATATGTCATTAATAAAAGAAGAAGACTAAAGTATGTACCTACATATCAGGGAATTACAAGTGATCGAGTAAAGTTTATTTTGTGCTTACCCTGTTCGCTTTATTTGTAATATAAACTCTCCATTTTTCGAAGTATTTTTATTTGTAGAAGATGCCTAAGAAATTGGTGTGTTGTGTTATGGTTGTGTTACACGCATTGTTAAAGTACGAACAGGACGCTATTCTTTGTAAGATTCTAGTGAATGAGAAAAGATTCTCCAAGTGGTTACAATGTCTTAGTGCTGTGTGTCATACTGAAAATTTTAATCCAGGCAGAAGTGTCATTTGTAGCAAACATGATGTACCAAGATTCATCACTCCAAAATCATGACTCTTGGGTGATGCATATCCGTCATTGTTTAATGATGATGGGCTCTCAATCAGCCTACCCTCTTCAAGCAATACTGGTAAGGCTGGTTTAATCTGCTATTACCTTTAGATAATGTAATTAAAATGATATGTATCTTCACTTTATGTTGTGTTTTGGAATACCGCTATTCTTCATTAGATTTTTTTTTTATTACAGAAATTATATTCACTTGGGAACACAGCTATGCAAGAAAAAGTCATGTTGACTACACATATTAGAAAGTGGAACTGAACAGAGGTTTGTTTTTAATTTATTTTATTTAGATAACAAAGTTCATGCTGCAGTGTTGGTGTATTTTAATATAGATTTTTGCTTTAAAAAAGTCTAGTAGATCTCTCTTTCTTACACACATAAAGAAAAATTACATTAAGTTACTTAACTCTAGCGGGCACGCTAGAAGTGATTTTGATCAGAGAAAAAATTGATAATATAAATAACATATTTCTAATATCATCTGAGATTATATCCTGATTAGAAAATTGATCATAGAACCAGGCTTCATGTAAGAGGTAAATATATTCCATATAAGTTTTTTCATACTACTTTTATAATTTTATGTATTACTACCAAATAATAATTTTTACTTTTTCTACTACTATTTGAATTTTCTTTTTCAGGTGGACAAATGAAACTCCAAAAAAATATGCTCCATTATAATTGATGAGATGTCATTAGAAACAGTACTTTCGTATAATAAAAGTAATAAGGATTAAAGATAACATTAATGGATTTGTAGAACACCAAGAAAAGAAAGAGGACTTTGCAGATCATACTCTTGTATTTATTATGTTGGTGCTGTTTACAAGTAGCAACAGCCTTTATGTTTATTTATTTCTGTCAAGGAGCAACATCTACTGTACATCAAGAATATTTAAAGTTAGTAGTAGAAAAAGTTGTTGAATTGGACCTTAATCCCATCGCAATAATAAATAGCCAAGGCTCAGCTTTCCAATCAGCACTCAAAAATCTAAAAGAAGACACTTAGTGTGATCAAATTTTAAATTGAAATCACAGGTTGGTACAGAGAATTATATTTATATGAAAGAAAACTAATAGATTTAATGAAAGTAGTGAAGGTTCTTATTTTTATATTGTTATCTATGTTTTAAGAAGTTCTTAAATTTTTGTTTCAGTTGGCATTCTTAAAATATGTGGGATGGATTTGAACATTATGATTCTACACACTTGATAAAATGTATCAGGAATAATTTTGGTGGTAAACTTGCAAAATGGCATGATATTATTTATGTCTATGAGACAGACTGTCAACACACTGAAGCTGGGCTATGTCATAAATTAAATGACCAATGAGTTATACCTGATAAAATTAAAAAGATGAAGGTAATGCATTGGTTATTATATTAGTATAACTTAAATTAGTATAAATAAAAGAAATAATTTGTATTCAGCTTCTATATTCTCTATCAGAGCAAGTGTTGATACAATGACCTGTATTTTTAATTATGTAACAAGTAGTTAATATAGTTTACACTTAAATTACAATAATGATTCTCTAATGAAGATAATTTTAAATATGATATCTCTTTTTGCAGGTAAAAAATTGTGTAAAAATATGTCTGCAGCTTTGCAACTGCTGCACTGCAAATTTCTGTGAGTATTAGATGAAATTTTCTAACAGTTAATTGTTTTGAATCAAGTTTCATACAATTATTATATGAATATTTTAATTTGCAGCAACTTATGAGGACGTGCACAACATTAAGAAATGCAGCTGAAGTTGTTTCATTCCTTGACCAATTATTTGATAGTGTCAATGGAGCATCGATAAACAAAAAAAGCATAAAGGAAAAGAGCTGTGACAGATAAGACACACCATCATTCTTTCTGGCCAAAGGCAATTGAAATTTTAGAAAAACTTAAATATGTGTTTATACACACTTTTTATAAAGGTATGCAAAAATCAGTGCCCTCTTTAAAAAAAATTGTGATTACCTTGAAAAGTTTCATAAGGTTGTGCCACTAAAAAAACGTAGCTAGGAATTTCCGAGAATGCAGAAGAGAGCTGTGAAAAATATAATAAGTTAAAAAATAAATTATTCAATAAATAATATTGGAAAAATGTGTGTTTTATTTACGTGTTCATTTTTCCTTTTTTGTTTTAATACAACAATAATAATAAGCTAGATTTATCAGTCTGCTTTATTATTATTGTTGTATTAAAACAAAAAAGGAATTTAAAGTAAAAATAATGTGGAAACTAGGAAGATGGCTAGGTACCTACCCAAAACAGGGCTGTATAGCTAAATGCCTTTGCCGATAGTAGATCTATGTATTTAAAACGAATGAAGCTGTCATGTATCACTGGCTCCCAATCACGTTCTACGAAGAAATTTTTTGTTAGGAAGTTGGTCGTCTGATACCTACTAAGTCTGTGCTACATACCTACTAGGTCTGTGAATAATACGAAAAATAAAAGATTCCTATATGCATAAAAGTATATTTTTTTGAAATAATAAAATAGTTTTGATTTATGCAACCTAAAAGGAAAGATCGAGTGGAACTGGAGAGCAATAACTTTTAACTCCATAAAATGACCGAACAAAAGAGAATGTGTAATTCAAATTTTGAGGACACAGTACACGTTAGTTTTTTCTTGCTTGATGTAGACGAAACGGCAGAACTAGAAAACTTGTGTGATAGTATCAATGAAACTATAAAATTATTAGCGAAAGACTACATTTGGCACAAGGAGGAGTTCAAAGTGCATATCCCTATTACAAATGAAAATAAAAGTAAGTATTTATTTATTACAGCGATTTCATCCCCGTAATTTAGGGGTTTGTTATATCATTAGATAATAAACTCCAAGCAATTTGCAGGTCCTGCACTCATGAATTAAACCCTCAAGGGAATTAATATAAATAGAGATCATTGATAATCAATTTGCTTTATTAGTGGTCTTGCTAATATCTAGTAGTAAAATTTATTTTGATATTTTACTAACTTTCAAAATCTTATATTCTACGTAGGCATCCTGCATAATCTTGCCAAGTAGAACAAATAATTTTAATTAGTATAAATTCTGTAATGAAATCATTGTAGAAGCAGATGCACCAACTTATTTCAACAATAACAAACATGTTAAAGTACAGATTAAGCAAATTGGTTAGATGACATCATAACTTAACTGTTATCTATAACCATCCAAGTTTCACTGACTAGTTATTGCTTTATTATGCTAAGAAAGAGGATGGAGCAATGCATGCTGCAGTTAAAGTTGGTGTTACAAATTTGACATTAACTATAATTGTAATTAATACTAATTACCTGACTGCAAAGGAAGGGTTACATGTTTTCTCTTAGTAGCACAAGTGTTCTTAGTTATCTAACATTAAATAAAAATATATGGCAGTTGTGCGGATACCATTATATTAATGATATATATGTATTTTATAATAACTACAATAAGATTATCAAATTGGAGGGCTCAATACAAGGATTCCAAAGAGAAATATCATCATTATTGCAATTCTAATAAATATAATGCAATTAGAAAGTTTAGAAACAAGGACTTTATTCTTTTACTTTGTGAACCAGTCTAGTAATAAAAAATTAAACATCATACATAACGTGCAGTCAGAGGCATCAAAGTGAATAATAAGTCAAATCAGTCTTTCTTTGTGCATAACTCCGACTGCATGTTGTGTAATGTTGCATGATTGTTTTATTTTGATCCAGCCTTCTTTGTAAGTTGCTTCTCATGCAGGTAGGTTTTTTGATTTTCAAAGATGTAATATATATATTTATTGGGTGTTATTTAAACAGTAAGTATTGATAACTTTGTGGGAATGTGTAATTCAATGGGTTGATTAAATAAAATATGTCAAATAAGTCTTATTATGGACCCATATTTTTAGGAAATTTTGAAAACCACCCAGGGTGTAAGGAAAAAGTGAATTTTGTGCTGGTAAAATAAGTCTAGGGAAATTATTATACATACCAATGTGTATCTTCAATTGACTCCTCTGCAACATCTCGTTGTATCCATCGGCGAACTGTCTCTCTCTGCGAAATTGAAATATAACGGTTGTATTTTTATTAAATGTGACAAAATAAACTCTTTAAACATATGTCTAAATTATTGTTTCTGTAATGACAACATTTATTTAAGTTGAAGCTACGGCATACCTATTACTTATAGGTATGCCATAGTTGTTACATACTGCACTGATTGCATAAAAATAAATTTGCATTGTTTATTTAAAAATAATGCGTTATAATATAATTACAAGTATTTGGTGACATTATATATAACTGTTTTCATTTTATTGTAAAATTAATTTATCTATAATTGTAGACATTATGACTTAAGTCTAAGACCCAATAGAAAAGGGAATGTTTTTCTATTTACCTAATCTCAATAATATTATTATATATGAAACTTAATATTTTAATGACTGACTGAAAAAACTAACATGTAGTTGAAATCTGCGAAATATTTTTTCCTTGTCCACTTAAAAGTAATATTCGAATTCTTTCTTCTCTTGTTAAATTGCGCGCCATTACCTCTATTTTTTATTTATATAGCAATATAATAACACCCGATATAGCAGTCCAGTTTAAAAAACAGAGTTTCGTACAAGCAAGAATCAGAATCCAAGTAGCGTTAACAGTAAAACAAGTATCACATTACCTAGTCTAGCCATAAATTCTGTTACAAAGAAAATATCCGATGATTAAAAAAATATATATTTTATTGTTTTATAAGTATGTGATTATGTAGAGTGAAAAAGATATGCTAACGTACTAAACTAATTATTCAAAGTGTCCAACCCTTAGCTTTAACGCACGCTTTTAAACGGTTAGGTCATTCGACGATGGATTTACGAACGGTTTCCATTATAAACTTGGTCTCTGCTGCCTCCAAAGATTTCTTGAGCGACTCAATATTTGGATGACGCTTAGAGCAGGCCATGTCCTCTAGCACAGACCACAATTTATAGTCCAAAGGGTCGTAAGTCCGGACTAGCCGCAGGCCAATCATCAGCCTTTATGAAGTCTGTAACATTTTGCTCAAGCCAAATTTGGGTAGAGCGCGCCTTATGACACGGGGCTGAATCTTGTTGGAATGTGCACGCTTCGTTTTTGAATAAGGTGTTGTTGAGTTTTGATCTTTCGACTCTCTTTTGTTTTAGTCCCTGATTTAAGGTATGTATTGTGAATCTGCGGTAAGCCCATGGACCCAAATCTTGTTTGATAATCCGAGAAAGTTTCCTCGGTAGGATTCTCATTTCTCTGGAAAAGATTTTCTGCTACTTTATGGGATTTCGACGATTTCTGGCTCTGATTGCATTCGGCTAGTCGTTAGCTTTTCAATATATCAAAAATGTCGGCTGGCTCCTTACCTACTTTGTACAGTGCAATTAATTCAATCCTATTCTCTTTAGTGCCCCACTCCATTTCCAAAACAAATCATTTCTTAACAAAAAACACAATAATGGCAGAAAAGAAGTCTATTTCGAACTGTGAATTGTAATAACGAAACGGAATCACGCAGCCTCTACGTTGCACACTTCTTCCAGTGTAATCATCCTTCTTTGACACTCTTTTTGGTTAATGCTTTTGTGACGGGTTGTGATGTTTACAAGTAACAAGTTTAGTACCTTGTCGACTTAAGTTTAGAAGTACCACTCTATCACTGACACTTATAAAGCTTTCTATACTTTCTTTATAACTTTTTATTAAAAAACTCACACCGTACATTCCCTGTGTATGTCCTGTGTTACAAAATATATGATTTTCATACTTTTATTCCGATTCTACGTGTTTCGAACAGTCCAACTATAATATTTTCTTGAGCTTTGTACAGTTCTATTAAGTGACTATAGGATGAAAGTGTTCTTACGTTATATGTTAATATATAAAGTTTGCTTGTTGTGTGATATGTTGTCTTCAATTTTGTTTTATTTTTGTCTTTGTCAAATATGAGTACTGTTTTCGCTTAAATCAAAGGATTTTGAGTAATAAGGGTGACTATTAGACTACTTTGAGGTAGACTACTTTTTATATTTTTATTTTATAGATACACGTGAAATATATCTATAAATTATATACATATATAAATAAGTATCTTTCTTTAAATAAGTTATAATCTAAGAATAAATTTAATTATCATAATTATCCGGGTAAATAAACTAAACGCAAAAAAAAAAAACGTTTTTCGTCTCTGTGACGATATTTATAATTCTTACTCATTTAAATTACGTGCAAATATTTACTTTTATATTATAATTAAGGGCGCCACCTTCATTTTACCCGCTAGTATTAGGTATTTGCAGGAATTTAACAAAATACGCACCTAAAGTCATTTCCTACCTGACGAAAAATCACACATTACAGATAAAATATTGAAATAATATCAAAAAGCATTACAATAGTGCGTTTTAGGCAATTACTTTATAATAACTATAAAACAAAATTGTATTAGTGCTGAAGCTTATTAAATGGAACTATCAAATTCAATATAAAATAAAATATTTAAAAATTGTTACGGTGTTTTCATCATTTCCGTAAAAACACGTCAAACAGCGAATTATTATTACTCTTTGTCACAAAGTACACTTAGACCCGCGCCCGCGCCTCCTTCAGTTCACCAAGAAGGCGTACAGTAAGTGGTCGTGTCAACGAACAAACGAACGAACAAACAAAAGATAAAAAAAGACTTAGGTACTACGTTTGTCACGCATACACATCATTTCTAGAAGAACGAATTACACTGTAAGTAACAAATACATTTCATCCATTACTTTTTTCAAAGATGCCGAATGCTTATGTGTCACGTTTTAAGTTATTATTATTACGTTAACATGATATTTGGAGAACATATCAGATTTGAAATGGATCAAAATCATTTCCAGTAAGATCATCTCCAGTAAAATGATAAAGACGGAAATGATTTGTGATTACTGGTAATGACTTTTAATCTTTATTTGTTGTTTACTTTCAAATCGTTGAAATTTGTAACGATTCTTAATCACTTGTCAGTGTGCTAGATTAACTAGTGGTTTAAATCAATAAAGTCAAGACGACTGTAGTTCGTATCTTTTTCTACAAAGAAATAATGTTGTTTTAGGTTTGATGACTATGAACAAAAAAACATCGGCTAATTTATCAGCCTATAAGCGTAAAAAATACGCAGAACTTAAAAATGATCCAGAAATGTATGACAGAGAAAAAGATAAAGAACGAAGACGATATATTAAAAAAAAAGAAAGGGGTCAAGTCATCCCTATTGATGAAAAATCGCCAAGAGATCAAAGAGAGCAAAGAAAAAAATGGCGAGAAGCTTCAAAGAGGTACAGAGAAAACAAAAAACGTAAAATAAATGAATCTAAGCTGCCGGAAGTAGTTCTCATTGAAAATCAAAATCAGGAAAATATATCACTCAAAAAGATAACAGAAGTTACTACAGCCATGGAAGATCCTCTAAATTCAACTGCAACGAAAATAAGACGTATAAGATACAGGGAGCAAAAAAGGCATAAAGTATTAATGAATATCATAAATGAATTAAAAAAGGAAAATGAAAGCCTGAAAAAGAAATTAAGACAAATGTCAGGGCATAATTTAAAAGTAGTTTCAAAAAAAATAGACAAACAGAATAAAAAAGTAAAAAACTTGCGAACAGATCAAGTACCACGATCAAGACGAAAATTAATTATACTTATTAAGAAGTTTTTTGAGCAAGATTCAAATAGCACAATTATACCCGGCAAGAAACAGTACATCACTCGTAATAAAATTCAAAAGCAAAAAAGACAGTTAATATTACCATTAAAACAATTACACAACAAATTTATTTCAGAATACGGTGTTCCTGTAAGCTATGCTTTTTTTTGTAGACATCGCCCATTTTGGATAATTTTTCCAAACAAAGCAAACCGAGAAACTTGTGCCTGTATAATTCATAGCAATATAGACTTAGTCATTCTGTGCCTGCATAAAGCGGGTTTAATAACGGAGACCAATTATGAAAAGGTTTTAAGATCCCTCTGTTGTTCTCAATATAAAGATATATGTTTAAAAAGAGAATGCCCTTCATGCAAGGATAATGTTTTATCTTATAAAGAATTTTCCAATGAGCAAAGCCTTACACTCTATCAGTGGGTTCGCTGTAAAGAAACTGCTATGACTAAGAAAGGTACGAAAACACAATATGTTACTTTGAAAAAGCCAACTGAAATGACACCATTACAAGTTATAGAAAAATTAGATAACCAGCTACCAAATTTTTTCAAACATGTATTTATTATAAACGAACAATACAACACTGCTAAACATAAGAAAAAAAATTTAATTGTAACAGAAGCATATATACATATAGATTTTTCAGAAAATTTTGGGCTTAAATACGGAAAAGAAGTGCAAAGTCTTCATTTTGGACCAAGTCGTAAAGAGATTTGCTTGCACACTGGTGTAATTTACACCTACGACTTCCATCGTAGTATCATTGGCACTACCTGTGCATGCACAATTAGTCAGTGCTTGAGACATGACGCTGCAGCCATCTGGGCGCACCTAATACCGATGGTTAAACTTGCTCTAGAAATAAATCCATTTATAGATACTGTCCATTTCCAGTCAGATTCCCCAAGTTCCCAGTACCGCAATAAATACATCTTTCACATAATTTCAGTTCTTCATAAGGATTTTCCACAGCTAAAGACAATAACCTGGAATTACAGTGAAACTGGACATGGGAAAGGGGCTCCAGATGGGATTGGAGCTGTATTAAAAAGGACCGCAGACAAACTTGTGATGTTTGGTCAAGACATCAGTACATTTGAACAGTTTATACAGAGTGTAAAACAGAACATTGAAAATATTTCGATTTTGAATGTAAGTGAAGATGAAGTTTTTACAAAAGAAGCTCTGCTTCCCAAAAATTTAAAACCATTCCAGGGCACGTTAAAAGTGCATCAAGTGTTGTGGAAACACAATTTGTTGAACCTTATACTCCGGAATACCAGCTGTTTTGACTGTGAATACATTTGTGTTCACAATAAACATTTAGGATTTTTAAAAGTCCTCCACAATACTCGAGCTGAAGAACTTCCTGGACCGAGTTGTAGAGAATCAAATCGTCTTGAATACGTAGCACCACTCGTAAGAACGCACAAAGCTCATCATATTCTCACTAATATAACAAATACCTGCCCCAAAGTTAATGTTATTGCTAGTACGCCAAAAAACATTGTTATTTTATCTAACAAAAAAGTTTCTTATCCTATTAATATTATAAAGGCGAAAGTTTGTAAGTATGGATGTATGGATGTTTGTTACTCTTTCACGAAAAAACTACTGGACGGATTTGGATAAAACTTTACAGCAATATAGGTTATACATCAGAATAACACATAGGGTACTTTTTACTGGGAAAACTTCTCACTCCCACGGGATACCGACTTCCACGCGGACGAAGTCGCGGGCGTCCACTAGTAAATGAATAAAAAGATATTAATACTTCAGATCCAATCAATAATTTAGTGTGTAGGAAATCATGATTAATAATTAAATTAAAAATAAGTGTTTTTTTATTCACGTGATTGTTATACTTAGATTAATCATAAAAGATTGTGCAATTAATTAGATATGAATAATTTAATGTCTTTAGTACTAGATGACTTTAGAACCGACAGATTTTTCCAAAGAACTATTCAATTTTCAATAAGAATTAAAGGGTATTTTGATTATAATGTTTTTATTATTATACACCTTGGTTGTGATCTATTGATGATTAGATTAACTTTGAATATTTTTTTTTTAATTTCTCTTTGTTACTAATAAAACATTACCAGTCATGTTATGTCATTTCCAGAAACCAAAAAATCATTACCATCCTATTATCATCATTTCCATCACAACCATAAATTTACAAAAATAAATATCTCTTATAAAAAACATTTTACAAATGTGCCTTTTACATATAATTCTTATTTTCGTTTCTATAATTCATTATTCTTAATGGAAAACTCATTTTGAAAGTGTTTAAAAAAATATATAAAAAAAATACAATATAATAAAGTTTAGTTTATTTACCCATCCGCGGAAAGGCCAACTTCTGTCATGGCGTCGCTATGACGTCACGCCTCTCATAAACTGATATCGTTCTATGAATACATATAGGCTGGTACATAATTAACGAGTATAAAATATATGATTGTTCATAATTAATTTAAACAATATTATAAAAATCATAAAAGTGTGATTATCGGTAGTAGTATATTAAACACTACCAGAAAAAAATTATATGCGTTTATTTTCGTATTGTCTACACCCGTATTTATAAATTAGAATTTTTAAAATAATCTACTTGACATTGTTAAAATACTTGAACTACTTTCTAGAACGATGATGGAAGCAGAGCTTACTAACAAAACAACGTTTATCGAATTTGATTTGAGTCACAGATAATTTGAGTCTACTTAAACATTTATTGTCTGTCAGCTTACACAGCCTACGCCATTTTACATAGTACATATAGAATTTTATACAAAATGTAACACTGCTCTGCAAAACCGAGAATTGGAATAAAGAAGGGAATTTCAAATCTTAATTAAACTGCTGACCCGCTTCAATGGAGTGACATCTTACTAAATAATGTATAAAAACATTATTATTTATTAACAAATTTGTTTTAGACAATCCTGTGCAACTTCAAAGTACTACATGTTTTGGTGACAATATTGAAGATGAATGGTTCATAGCATACCTTGTTTTTGAAATAAGCAAGGTCTTTCATAACCTCATTATTCAAATGAGGGATAATGATGGTGATTTTCTACTGATAGAAGCTGCAATGTTTTTGCCATCATGGGCTAATCCAGAAAATACAGAAAATAGGGTAAGTTTGTGTACTACTATAAGAAATTAATATTATAGGATATCATTAATATGTAAATTTATTTTTATACTAAATTAGATAATATGGGTTTAAATTAAATGAGTGTCATATGCTTAAAATATTATATTTTTAATAAAGAATAACATTAGAATAGAATAATTCCTAACAAGAAACACGTAGGAGACGTTATTTGCTTCTTGTTAGAAATAACGCGAGTTGCAAGTTTTCGATTGTCAGGGTAAAATAATAACTTTTTTTTAAATAATCTGTTTTTACTTCTTTTTACATAAATAATTCAGCATTTTGTTGGTTATTTTATATTTTCTATGTAATGCTCCGAACGCTCGCTATAGTTCGAATAAATAGGGAAGGCGTAGTTACGTTAAACGTGGTATGTGTGCGCGGAACTTTGTAGGTATGTGTATACACGGCAAGGTGCCGTTATACCATATTCACTTCGCTAATAAGCAGAACGCGTCTTTACTTTTTATTTGATCTGAGCTTTCAAGATTTGCGTTAATTATGTTACAAGGTGTATAATCTCACTGCGCCGTAACGAAATTTTAATCCCTTATTATAACAGCTATTCCTTTTTTTTATAAGTTATTTTCCAACATAATTGCTTAGTTATAACCGCAGCTTTACTAATACATCCCTTCTTGTTTAATGTACCTTTGCAAATCATTGTTTCAGGTATTTATATATAAAGGACACATTCGTATGGTTCCCCCTGCAGTCATAGACCTGAATAAAGTTTTCACCATCAGGGAAGCTTTAGATTTAGTTATTCACTTACCGGACTTCACTAAAGTATCAACTGCAATTGAAGAAGCTGTCTGGTCTAGAATAAAACAATATCCACAACAAGTAAATCAAAATTTTCACAATGCTTTAGTGAAATTACCACTAGATTTAGCAGCTCTATTGTCATTGAATCCTACATTTATATCTGCTATCGTGGAATCATACTGTAGTCTTGACATGTTTGATTTAAAACATTGCCAAAATTTGGAGTATCAAGATCCTATTATTGTTAAAGTAAAATTTACGAAATGTTTGTATGCTATGCTAATGCATTCAAAGTATGTTAAGATTAGAGGACACTCAGAAAATGACAAAAAAGGTGTCCTAGGCCTTAAACTAGCATGTGGATTTCAGATATTAATGAAAAACCTAACAAAAGATGTTTTTTCCACCAAAGACTTTATTCGATTTTTAAATAATTTAACTGATATCGGATACTTTCGGCAAAATATTAAAGATTCAAAAGAATATAATGAATTATTAGAAAAAGCAAAGCAATATTTTCTCGACACCGAATGTTCTATTTATACTTCTAAATCTAAAAATATTTCCAAAATAATGGGTTCAGACAACTTTCAAGTAATTAAGGAATCGTTGAAAAATGCTGATCCCAATAAAGCAGATTTGAGTGAAGACTGTGATGATTGGTTAAATATTAACGAGCAGCAATTAGATGAGTTGTTAAACAGGCGTTATAATTATGATATCAAATTTAGAAAAGATGACGTTTTGACACCACAAGCTATAACAACAAAATTAAATAATTTTTTGAATGAATCATCGGATTTTGAAGGTGTTGATTCCAGAGAAATAAATGAGTCAGATAATCAATGCATTAACTTCGATGCTGATAATTTTGTTAATTGCTTACAAAGAATGTTAAGTTTCCCTCCCTCTGAAAATACCAATGATTCCGATTCTAACGATTCTGATTTTGAAATAGAATCTGATATAAGCGATGAAGATGAAGCGTTAGAAAAAGAGTTGGCTTCTAAACTTGATTCGTTCGCAAATAATAGAAAATCTTGCGAAACCGTGGTACATAATATAACTGAAAGTATTAAAGAAGAAGGTTTGTCAGGACCTTCAAGCAATATACTCAAAACAATTGGAATCAGCAGAAAAGATATGTTAGATTCCGATGATGATGATGGATAAAAAATAATATTACTGTGTAAATAACTTTAAGGGTCACACTCAAATAAAAATCGAAATGTCGAAGAGACAAGTTAATATTTTTATTGCTTTTCGAATAAGTCTCCTTTCTTTCTTTTATTGTGTGTTGTGGAGGAGTTTCGTTCTCCTCACAGACTGGCATAATTTGCAAACTGGAATACCTGTCTCTGGTTCTATTTAAAATTACCACTGTTAATATGGTTCCGTACCCAAAGGGTAAAACGGGAACCCTATTACTAAGACTGCGCTGACTGTCTGTTACCAGGCGGTCATGAACCGTGAAAATTTGACAGTTGAAATTTTCACAAATGATGTATTTTTATTTCCGTTTTAACAAAAAATAATAAAAACCAGAATAAATAAATGTTTAAGGATTCTCCCATACAACAAACGTTTTTTAGTGTCATCAGGCTAGTATCTTATGATCATGAACAGTGATATTTAGACAGTAAAAATCTTCACAGATAATGTATTTCTGTTACCGCTATAACAACAAATACAAAAAAAATAGAATAAAAAAATATTTAAGGGGCTCCCATACAACAAACGTGTTTCTTTTCTGGCACCAGGCTATATCTCCTGAACCGTGATGGTTGGACAGTTGAAAGTTAAAATGGGGTATTTCACACTATGGTCATCCTGGTAGACAATAATCTAATAAAGTTTATTTCCTAGATTCTGCAGACAAAATATGTTTAGCTTCAGTAACGTAAGAAAATGCAACATTTTTAAGATTTTTAATGAACTTCGACCTTTACTTGGTTGTCGTCGCAACCAATAACAGGTTCTGTTTACCGGTATGTGGCGTTACAAGTAAACAGGAAGCTGTCATGTCAACTTGTGCATTTATACATACAATTTCTAGCTCATTTTTATAAACAACTAGATGACCTGGTGGACTTCGTAGCGCCTTATACCCGTTTAAAAAAAACTTATACAAAACGTGTCATGAATCGTGGAACACATAAAAAAAGAATCATCCAATTTGGTGCAGTCGGAACTGGAATCGGCGATTCAATTTTATTCATCAATATTTAATAGCTCGCCGGGACATTTTTTTATTTCTATTAAAGAGGTACAATTCCACCATTCAAGTTTTTGTTATAATTCAAAAGTTTTTGGCGGCGTTTTCGAGAAAAGCTTCCGATCGGCTTTATTTTTTCCGACATATTGAACAAATATCGTTGTAATATCGTCAGTTTCTACAAAACCTAAACTTAGTATACACTAAAACCAAACCAAACCAAAAAGATACAAAACAATTTCAAAAATCAACTTCAATGAGGAACTTTTTTAAAAAAAGAATTCACCAAAAAAGCACCCTCACTAGATGGCGACTATAGCAAAAGTTCATTTTTTCAGGAAACGAATGGACCAAGGATAGTCATTTCCTTTCCTTTTAACTAACATATTAAAAAACTGAAATTTGAAAAGTTTGTAACTAAGATATTAATACAAAAACGAAAAAGTACAAACAGAGTATGAATTGTTTATTGAGTTTAAAAACTAATATACTTTTAAACTTGTAGAAAGAAAACTGGAAAAGTTGTCATGGAGAAATCAAGAACGTACTGGAGCGACATCTAGTTTGATTTCGGGAATTATGCTTTTTTTAAATACTATGAAAATTTTATAACTAGAGAATAGAGCTGTAACAAACCGTATGTATTCGATACTGAGTATCGGGTGACCGAGTAACGAAACGTTGCTCACGAATGTATTTCGTTACTCATATTTTTTGTACTCCATCTAAACTGATTCAGTTTTACATACAAGTATCGTTGATGCATCAATTTAATCCTTAAAATAATTATCTTTGCTGTTTTAATTTGTTCAAATGTGTTTTTTTTATTTTTATAAAAATAATTAAACATCTATAAATAACTTATGACCGTTATAATGTCAGAAAACAGAGTGAATATAAAATAATATAATTGCTTAAGTAGTATAAACTGCAGCATCGGCAAGGCAAAAAACCGGAAGGGTTGTCATAGAGAAATCAGAAAACTACGTACTACTACATCTAGTTAGATTGTTAAAAATGTTACATATTTCTTAACGTTATTTTACTAAAGCTAAAAATATTTTATCTGCAGATTCTAAGAAATAAACTGTTTTACTTTATTACCTAACAAGATGACCACTACACGCAACTTATTTTTAAGAGTGTCAAATACTCTATTAAACGAATGGACTTCTTTAGATCAAAGAGTATATTATATTCGGGTAGTTCTTGCTCTATGCAGTATAGTGATCTGTGGTCAGCATACGTGGTATCTCATCTGTGTTGTTAGTTTTGTTCTGTGTTTGTATCGGTGCTGGTGTGATGTAAACACGTATTGAAGTTAATATAGTAAATTTTGAAAGTAATCGCCTTTTGAGTAGCGATACATATTATGGAGTCAATCAAGCAGGATAAAATGTACCTCAAATTCAAGTTGACTGTGAAAAACTGGGAAAAAGAATTCAAAATAAAGTTCTCCCGCACACCTTCTAAACTTGACATTAAAGAAGCTCCCGCCAACATAAAATACGCTTACAAAAAGTATTTTCAATTAAAAAGTGCTTTATTAGAAAACTCATTAAGTATTTGTGATGATAACGATCTAATTGCATCACCTGAATATGTTCAATGTTTGGATAAATTATCTCCTGATTCTTCAAATCACCAATCGGAAGTGTTACTGCCAGCTCTTCCTAGTGGTCAAGAACTTCATGAACTTTTATTAGATTCAAAATTACAACAAAATGCTATTGACCGAAATCCATTAGAAGAAAATTTTTCCAAGAAACTATTTAACAACAGAAAGTTTTCTCTTAGAAATCCTAGAAAGTTGTCTAAACCACAACTGACAATAGATGACAAAAAAAATGATACCCTAAGTGAACACAATGTTGAGATAAAAGAAACGCTTGATATTGATATCTCACACTCTAATTTACCTTTTGTTAAAAATGATTTTATTAATAACAAAATTGGCAAGGATTCTGATTTAATTCAACTCTCATTAGAAAATAAAGTCCCAAAAAGACAAATAGATGATGCCTGGCTCAGCCGAGCTGTTAATTTTGGAGACTCTGATAATAACACTGCTGATGATGATACTGCCAAAGAACAAAATTTTGGTTTAAGTAATATATGCACAAGTGACTCACAAAAACTAGTAGAGTATGTTGAAAATAGTGAATCTGAAGAAGATATGGAATTTAAAAAATTGAAACCTGCTTTAAAAAAACGAAAACTAAATGATTTAGTGGAAAATACTTACCAACCCCAAGCAATTGTTTCAAATCATTTAGAACTTGATAACTCCAATTCTCACATTATTGTGTCCAGAGAAGAAAATAAACTTTTAAATAAAAAGAAAACTAAAACTTTAAATCATAATAATGTAGATCAGTGTCCTCCAGATATTTCTGAATATGTACCATTTGGTTTAGATGAAGCAGTTGTTCCAAGACATTATGACATAACAGCCATTTTAAGCAAAAATGATGCCATGTCAACATTACCTAGTTGTAAAGCTGATAAAGAAAATACAACTGATAATAAGTTAATGGAGAAAATAAAAAGTGGTACATTAAATGAGAATTTCATTAAAATAAATATTGAAAAAAAAGTTTTTGTTCGTGGAAAGAAATCTAAGAATTATACGAAATATAAGAAACAACAATGGAAATACAAGAAAGATCTTCATGCTGGTATGGAATTTCCTGAACATGGTAAAATTAATTGTTTCAAATGTGGATTGACAGGGCATATGGCCAGGTATTGTACTGTACATAAAGGGGACATACTTCTACCTCTAGAAAGCTATAATGATAATGATTTACCAACCTTGGCAGATATGCAAAGCCTTGTTAGTAAAGAAAGAAATGATATACCAAATGATCAACTATTAAATATGTCAGTATCTTCAAGGAGTCAAATTCCAGATTCATATTTAAAAATGCTTGAATGTACTTCAAATAACTCTATAGATACAGAGATTAAACCAATTTATGACAGTCACATGCAGAAAGCACCAAAAGAATTGTACGATGCTCTAAAAAAGTTTGGACATGATTCATTTCGATATGGTCAAGAAAATGCTATTATGAGAATTTTAAGTGGAAAGTCAACATTATTAATTTTAACAACTGGAGGAGGGAAATCATTGTGTTATCAGCTTCCAGCATATATCTATAGCCAGCATTACAAATGTATAACCTTAGTTATATCTCCTTTAGTATCATTAATGGAAGATCAGGTTCAATGTATGCCTGAGTTTTTAAAAGCTGGTTGCTTACATACTAGTCAACCTCCTACGCAACGGCGCAAAATCATTCAATGTCTTAAAGATGGTGAAATTAACATTCTACTCATTTCTCCAGAAGCACTTATATCTGGAGACTCCTCAAATGGCTTCACAGGGCTCTTTAAGTCTTTACCTAAAATAGCTTTTGCTTGTATTGATGAAGCTCATTGTGTGTCTCAATGGAGTTATAATTTTAGACCAAGCTACCTGATGATATGTAGGGTTCTCAGGGAAAAACTGAATGTAAATTGTATTCTAGGACTAACAGCTACAGCAAGTCAGTCAACAATACAGAGTGTAATTGGGCACATTAATGTTCCTGATGGTTCGGCTGGTGTTATTACCAATCCAACACTGCCAGACAATCTTGTCCTTTCTGTTTCATTTGAAAAAGATAAAGATAAAGCTCTAGTAGCTTTTCTTGCTTCAGAAAGGATTAAATCATTCAATTCAATAATAGTTTATTGCATTCGACGAGATGAATGTGAAAAAGTTGCAGCAATATTAAGATCGTGTCTTCAAGAACCTGATAAAATTAATATGGAGAAAAAAAGTAATAAACGAAAAAGAATGTCATACATAGCAGAAGCATACCATGCTGGAATGTCTGCTGCTCAAAGAAAAAAGATTCAAAAATACTTTATTGATGGTACTTTGAGAATAATTGTGGCCACTGTGGCATTTGGTATGGGTATAAATAAATCAAATATAAGATGTATTATACATTACAACATGCCAAGTTGTTTTGAGTCTTA